AGAACAGAGGCAAGAAAGACTCTTTGTCATGATGAAATCCAAACCCCCAACATGATGGAGAACAGCGTGAATGGCCAGACTGTCATTTTGCTTCCCTTTCCTTTCACATAACCCAAGCATGTGTCTAGTGGCTGATGCTAAAGGTGACCTGCAAATGAGGGTTAACAATGGAACACAGTAAACCTGAAATGAAATTATTTTTTCTGGTTGTTTTTTGAAGCATCAGGTATTTAGGCCTGTCTACCCTGTGAGATCCTCCAAACTGAAGAATTACTGAAATAGGGGCTTAAAAAAAAAAAAAAAAAAAAAAAAAAAAAAAAAAAAAAAAAAAAAAGGAGGAACAGCAGAAAGCAAAAAGTGTTTTATTTAGGTTTTTTGAAACCTACAGATAACTGTTTAACTTCAATGACTAAATAACATTTTGGGTAAGATAAGCCTTTCTTAAGTTTTCTGAACCCTTTAGTTCAGTTTTAAATAAACCCCAAAGTTCTTAAAAATTCTGCAGCAAAGCCAGAAGATATTAGATTTTCTATTCTTTGTGCTTGGAAGATAAATAAAACAGGGATAGAAAAACAAACTACTTCAGGCTTTACTTGTCACAGAGAAAATAACAACACATGTACTGTTAATTGAACATCAGTCACAAGTTACCTGCTTTATTTGGCCAAGGCTACTTTGTGCTCTTAAAGCTCCTAATGGCTCACAGTTCCTACCTGGTGAATCATTTAGAAGATAAACCAGTAGAGCTGCTAACCAGCATATGAATTGATATGGTAAAACATGTTTGCAACTACCTGTGTGTGTGATCTATAATATCTCTGCAGGGGAAGGTGAGATTTCACATCCTCACAATAAAATCAACATTTTAAGGAGCACCCTGCTCCTGAAATTTTGGAGGACTGCGTTTCACTGCCCCACCAGTTTGATGCCTTTCTTGAACCTGGTGTGGTGTTTCTACCTCCCTTCCTTCTGCTGCTTCCTTCAGCAGCAACCTCTGCTTTTGGCTAGACCCACATCAGTGATGCATCTTCCAGTGGGAGTCAGCAGAGCTGAACTATCAGCAAAAACACTTTTTGAGCTCTGAGATCAGTTCCTTCCCAGGTTGTTGTGTCAGCTTCCCTACCTTCTGCCTGCCGTTAATTTCACTGGACCCCCAGGTCAAACAACTGGCCAAAAATCTGGAAAACAGCTGACGGTCAGAGCAGCTCCTACTCAGCATGTCCTCTCAGAGGGCACGCTCCTGGCCTGGTCCTTTTGAGTGGCTGGACCTGCTTGACCCAATTTGTGGATTTTTGATCACTCCCCTGGGTCAGTGATTTTCCACTTGAGGTTATTGGTTTGACCCCCAAACCGTGGGTCACTTGGGAGGTGTGATATGGCCCTGTGAACTCTGAACTCATCAGGAGCCAACAAAAACAGTCAGAGAGGGGAGAAGAATTTCATTAGGGCCTCCTCAGAGTTGGCAGTGTCTGCTGAATGAAAAGGCAGGGGTTGTTTTGCTTCTTGAAGAAACAAGCATAGCATCTACAAGGGGCTGCCAAGTAGAAAGTGTTTGGTTTGAGTTGTTATGGCAATTTCTTTAAGGATAAACAACAGCTTATACTTTTACACCATGAGCTATCAAGTGAAAATGGTGTTGCTTTAGAGGAGCCCAGCTCTTCCTGACAGGAACTACCCCCAGTGTCCTAGACTTACTCCTAATGGTGACAGCATTCCTACAGCCAGAGCTTGGTATCTGGAGGTGTTTCTTCTACCTTAAAAAGATTGACTTTCCGATGGTTAATTTGGCACACTCGGGGAAGGAAGGGCCGTCTTCTCCCTGTATTTTAAGACTTGTCAGATGGAGGTTCATGTCAGAGGTTCATGGAGCCTCCTCAGGCTGGTTGGTTGCACTGTGAGCAGCTCTCTAAGAACAAACTTCACCGGGCATGGCCGGTACGTGGGGAAGAATGAATCCTCAGGAGATAACTTGGCTTCACCATGCAGTGCTGGTTGTAAAAGGGAAGAAAAGTGTCATCATTGTAGCATGTGTATCCACATGCATAACACTCACTAGGATCACCAGGGGAAGTGAGCTGAGAGTGTGGTGTGGCCACAAGGATTGTCTTTCATTAAATTTCCCCCTAGTCATGCTGCCCAGGGGCAGCCTTTTGGGAAGTTAGAGCGTTTCCCAAGGTTTTATTCATGCAAAAGTTCTGGTAATCGTTGCTTAGATCACTGCTTGTATTATTGCCAAGGCTGCTAAAAACCTCACATACCCTTCTGTCTTCCTGGGGCTTTCCTGAAGGATCCATGTAAAGTGGATTCGAGGCACTTCCAGCAGATTCAATTCCCTTTGTGTACAACCTCTCTCCTCCCAGCTGCTAATCTCTGACTCCTAGGGAAGACACTCGAGAATGATACCGCCTGTGGATGTTTCACCTTCAGAGAAGGGAAACTGGTGCTGAGACTGAACAGCTTGGATATTTCTTTATTTTTTAGAGAAAGATTTTGCTCTTCCCATATGTTCCTCTCTGCCATTTGTCTACACAACCAGAGATGGAATTAGCTGTAAGTGAACCAATGGTGGATTCACTTTTGTAGCATAGGTAACGGCAATGAAGACTTCACAGAACAAGCTCGAGCAGCTTGGGTATTGTGCCTCAGGTCTGGCACACTTGTGCTTTGATTGCTCAGGGTCATCTTCACTGCACAGTCCTAGGTCAAAGCTACCTGAATGCACTACCCTCTGCAGTCACAGCTTGTGTGGCAGCAGTGTCACGCTGCCTCCTAGAACTGGACTGGCTGAGCGTTCCTGGATACCGCTCTTTTGGCTGGATAGCAAAACACATCCCCCTCTTTTCCTGCAACATCCAGGCCTCTTGTGGGAGTTGAAGGATAAACTGTGTGCTGAAGGCTCAGTAGATGATGCTGGTGCTTCAGTCCCCTTCACAAGAGTCATTTTGGTACCAATTAATCTTGAATTTGTTATTCTAGAGTAATTCAATTTTGCAATTAGAGCTGTGTCCAAAAGCTACCTGGCTCTTCATTGAATTCTGGATCAGGTTCCAAGCTCAGTCCCTTTTTAATGTAACCCATGAGAATGTGGTTGATTATAGCTGCCGATGAGAACATCTTACAAAATCTAATATACAGGATTTTGAGCGTTATTGTTACATTAAAAGGTGATGGGTATAGGTTTAACATTTGTTCCTGTTGGTTTGCTGCTTGACACAAAGCAGGTCCTACCATTGCAGAAGCCTTTTGTGGTTGAAAGTGCGTTTTTGTGCACAGAGGAATTAAAAGCTGAGTGTGAATGGACTGACTAGTGAACAAATCTTCATATAGGAAGACATGGAGAAACTCTTTGTCCTGCTGTGGAAATTAGGCTTTGTTGCAAGGCCTAGGTGTGAGCAGAGACAGCAGTTGTCTCAATACATACAGTTTAAGAGTTCTTTTAGTATCTCAGAGGGTGGCTTCAGGCTCTTCAGCACTTTGTCTGGACTGTCTCATCAGGTTGCAGGGGGGGCAGGGAAAGCCAGGAGTGCCTGTCTTTTATAATGTTCTGTTTTCAAAGCAAAAAGTCTCTAGGGAGCATAGGGTCCTAAAAGTCCAGGGCCTGGAATTCTTCCTTTTGCTCTTTCCATTTTAAACAGGAAACATTTGCACTAAGTTATTCCAGGGGGAGAATTGTAGGTTCATTTCAAGGCAGATAATGTTTGTTCATTGCCTATGTCCATGATTTACCCCATGGGCTTAAACGAGTGCAGCAGAAAACCACATGTTTTGTTTAACTTCATGCAAAACAAGTTCCAGTGGAGTCTGGGAGCCCAGATTAAGAAGGGGGCAGCGTGCTTGTAAAATCATTGTGTGAACAAAAGGAGGCATTAACAAATTGTGAACACCTGATCTGCTGTACCAGAATGACTTTTTAAAATAAATCTATGCAAAGAATATTTAAACAGTTGATGAGTTCAGGCCTAAAGCCACAGAGCAGGTGTAATTGATTTATACTTTCAGCCCCTGTTTTGGGTCAAAACCCTGCCATCTTCCTTCAGCTCTCACTTGGAGAGAAGCTTCCTCTGCAGTCAGTGAGAGATTTTGCCCAAAGTGCAAAGACATTTGCAATCAGACTGGCAAAAACTCCTAATTGAGTTGAACTTTTGGGATGCTCTGGTGACATGTCTATGAGAACAATTATTTTTGCCATTTCAAAAGTATCACAAGTTAAGCTGTACTAGGAAAAAATATCAATGCTTCATTAGTGCAAATCATGAAATTAAGATGCAAAAAGCTACAGAGAGGGCTCCATGGCACATCCTCAGGGATAACGTGTTCACATGTTGCTTTTCACGTGAAGTAGAGCTTGTCAGATGATACTGATGCAGAGAAGTTACAGTGCTGTTGTAATGTCAGGCCTTCTAGATCACGGGAGTTTTTTTGAAACCCCACTGGCAGCTCGCCCATTAAACACAGGTACTGTAGCCTGATATCTCTAGTGTTTCTTCCAGGAGTTCCAGTTTTTCCAGCTATGGTGTTTGGAAAGTTTTATAGTCTGACATGTTAGGAGAAAAAATAGTGGGAAATGGCTTGGAAAGCGTGAATATTTGTGCATGTAAAGCTTATGGGATTTGCAGACTTGCAGACCCAACTCATCTGTTTATCCTCAGGCTAGATAAGATTCAGTCAAACATGCATTGTTTAAAGGAGCTTTGTTTCCATTATAGCAAATGGATCACAGGAGGCTGACTTTGGGAGCTGAAGGGCTCCAGTGCTCCCCCATTGTAAAAGGGCTGTGATGTGCGCTGGACCTTTCCTCCAGCGTCCTGGGTGTTACAGACTTTTGTAGCGAGCAGGTGGGAGGCTTGTTATCCTTCAAAAGTTCTTTTGATTCATCTGGACCTGTCATGCTTGAGGTGGCATTTCCTTTCCCAAAGTAAACATAGAATGTGAGTACAATAACGTGTTGCTGGGCTAGTAGACTGCCTTTTTATGTGCTTTATTATGTTTTTCTTTCTCAGGCGTGGACCTGCAGAGCCACTGGAATATTTAACAGGGCCACGAGTAATATACAAGGAGAGAGATCTTCCCTACTACCAAGGAGGACCGCCTGTTGTCCACTCCTCTAAGGGGAACTACATCCGTGCACCAGACACAAGAGTGGCAGAATTGAGGTACCCCCAGTACTACCCAGCCCAGCCTGTCACAAACCAGCACAAAGGACCCCTCCGGCAGGACGTGCCTCCTTCCCCTCCTCAGTCCCACCGAGCACCAGCTTATAATGAAATTGTCCGACACCGTGGGACCAGTCCAGACCAGTACCAGTACAGGCAACAGGATCCCAGGCAGAAGAACCCCATGACTGCAGCTGTATAGCCATGCACTGGACTGCAGGCACAGCCCGGGAGCAATCCCGTCGGACGTCACCCTTGTAGAGTTGTTCCCAAGCGTAGTTGCCTGTAAGTGGCACACGAGACCTGGAGTCGTTCTTACTGAGCTGGGCTCAGCATAGGTGCTTCCTAACAGGCAAACCCACGTGAGGTACGATGTGTTTTGAGTATGTGAGGTACCAAACAGTTGAGTATTTTTTAATTCTTTTTAAAAGCAGAAAGTGGCTGCTGGAACTCTTAATACACCTCAGGGCTATTTACCGAATCCAGTTACACCTATACAGTCCGTCTGTATAAGGGCAGTGGTGTCACCAGAGTTTACTTCAGAGTGCTGTAATAGAGCCTTTAAGTGAGAACACAGCATGCAGTATGGACTTCGTGCAGAGGTGGGGATCTCGTGTAATCCAGTGTGTGATCGTGAGTTGACAAGGGACTGCCACAGAGGTAGCAGCCGCGTTCCAGTCATGTTCAGACCAGCACCTCTGTGCTTTAAGGATGCTGCAGTTTCAGATTTGTAATCTGGCCTCTGTCTTCCTCTTTGTGTTTGGTGGTGGCAGCAATCTTGTAGCCTTCATTTTTTGCAGTTTGCGTAGCAAGATTCTCCACTTCTTGCACCTGCTGCATTTGGAGTAAGGCAAAAAGCTTTATCTGCCATGCAGCCAGCCACCTGAGAAGTGTGTCTGTAGATGTGCGTGTGTGTGCTTGTGAGTGTTTCTTAGTTATATAGTGTGCACTCTTTAAGTGTGAACCCTGGAGATCAGATCCTCAGCTGCTGTCAGGAAGTGTCGCTCCTGCGGTTTCAGTGGAGCTGGCCTATAGGAAGTGACTGAGGAGGTGACCGCAGGCATGGACTCCGTAGTTCCTATTACTATATCAGGTGCCGCCTTGGCTCCGGCAGGGCAGCCCCTTCCCGGCCTGCTCTGGCCAGGGTCGCAGCGAAGTGCCTGCCAGCAGCATGCCAGCCACTGTGTGAAGGCGCCCGCTGGTGCGGAGCCCACTGCCAGGCTCTGCCAAGTGCCAAACTACTCGAGTTCTTGCAGCCAGGGGCCATCAGGCCAGCGGGGAAAGGGGCTTTTCACAGCAAGTGGGGAGGGAAAAGACTAGGAAAGCGACAGGGAGGGCTTCAACACCCTGGGGCCTAGGAGGAAGAGGAAAGAATAGCTGTTTGTAGCAAGTTATTTCTGCAGTGCATAGGAGGAGAGAAGGTGTGGGTGAGGAGAGAGGCTGGCAGCGCAGCAGAGCCGTGGGGGCACAGGGCAGTGGGGTACATGCCGAGCTCTTTGCCCTGCACAGCCTGAGCTTGCGCTGCAGCTGGCCAGCCTGGGAGGTCAGGAATGCATGTCCCCAGTCACGAGGACCTGTGCTACCCAGCCCAACAGGGCTGTGGGTGCTCAGAGATTCGTCTCAAGGATCTTGTCGCACGGAATCCATACAGTCTTGCCACCTAGAAATACATTTTGTGAAGTTTCAAAGTGTCCTTAATTCCTCAACTTCTGCCTTTTGGGAGTGCTATTAAACCGTTTGGGCTCCTCTCTTCATCAGGGAGAGACTGTGACCTGGCCTAGGATTAAGCACAGGGATTTCTTTGATGTCTTTTTGACACCTTTGGTATGCAACAGATTAAATCACATGGGTCACTTCCCAGGTATTAAGTATCACCAGGAAGGTTTGTCCTGCTAGGAGCATGTCTCTTTACTAGATATCCCTGGGAACAGGGCTTGTTAGAGTAAGAGGTCCGTAAGGTGCAGGGCAGGGTGTGTTTGTGCACTGCTGCTTTTCAGGGGCCGCTGCCAGTAGGTAATGGCCCTGATGAGAAGCATCGTTTAATCCCAGCCAACATTTATTCTGTGCTGCTAATGCTGGTGAGAGACTGACATAACCCTGAAGTACAGGGAGCACTTGCAGCTGCCCCGCTGGCTGGTAGACTCTAGCATTTGCATTCACACCAATCTCTACCCACCGGACAGGCTGGGAAGCAGAGGAGAGGAGACAGCTTTGGGTGGTGGGGAAACATCTCTGTGATTCAGATACAGGGCTGAACTCCCTGGGGCAGGGGCAGGCAAGCTCTAAATCCAGTCAGGAGGAAGCACTGGTGGGAGGGAGAGGAATGCAACCGATTATGAAGCAACAGTGTTCGGTTCTTGTTCCATTTCTTTCTGCCCTCTTCCCTAGTAATGTAGGAGGGAAAAACCTCTGGAGGGAGGGTTGGATGTAAAGCTGGATGTCTCTTGGTACCCTCCATAAATAAGGCACATTCCCCAAGGAAACTCTGCCTGTCATGTACGTGCTGTACACAGCCTTGTACTTCTCTCAAAGAGTTTTAGATGCTGTAGGATACTCAGCCAGGACTTGGCAGCCACAGGGTAGCTGCTGGTGTTATGAAGGCCCGCTGAAAGTGAAGCGAAAACAAATTAAAATACTTTCCTTTCCCTTCTTGAAATATAACCCCCGATACATTTGATCCAGCTGTAAAGAAACTAATATGTTTGCGACAGTGGCTTTATCAAGCCAGGCCACAATTAAAACCAGCTCTGAATATAAGCTACTGCCTTTATAAATCACTCTCAACTATGGCATCACAGCACAGGGAACAGAACTTATTTACAGTATTTCAAGAGCCAGGGCCAAATAAACTCTGGATGGAAACAGCTCCCGGGTTATTTATAGCCTTTGAAGGACCTGCGCAATTGTCTCCCCGTAACCTGAATCTCTCCTGAAGAGCTCCCCTTGACTGCATCGGCTCCACTTGGTTGAGGCGGACAGATCAAACAAGCACCTTCTGAGCTGTTAATCTTACCCAACAGGTTATTAAATTATGCTTCTGCTGTTAGATCAGTACAGAGCTGCTTCTTAAAAAAAAAAAAAAAAAAAAGTATAATATATGGATGCATCCTACAGATGAGGAGCTAAGGAGGAAGAACAGTCTGACCTAGCTGGGGAAACAAGACCAAAAAGTATTACAGAGCATCTCATCAATCTCTGGTGCCATTGTTCTGGGAGAAAATTGCCATTTGCTGGTTTAATATCTGGTAGAGGTACGGTATGTTCAGAAGTATAATGTGTAACTACAGTATATATAGTCAGCTTCTCTGCAGTGTAAAATGTATGATTTTAGCACCATATTGTGGAAAAATATGTACCGTGCAGAATTCACGAGGTGCTACAACTGACGGTTGAAAATACACACTTGCAAAATCCAAAAGAGCCGTTAAGTAACAAGTTGTTCTTTTCCCCATATGTCCATATGTTTGGGAAAATTACGAGTCTGAAATGCTCTTGACACGTAATTGCCTCACACTCCCTCATCCAAAATGTGCCAGTCCAGCAGTAAAGTTACTGACGTAGCGGGCGTGAAGGGAGAGTTTGGGTTTGCCACAGGAGCAGCGTGCCATAAGTGTGCGTGTGAACAGGAGTCAAGACAAGGGGGAAAGAGGCCCGCTCTAACGTGAAGCTGGAAGCTTTGATTTCCTGAGCTGGTGGCGTGCAGCCTGCATTTCTGGCTCTGGCGTGGGGCCAGCCAGGCCCAGCAGTTGAAAGATTAAGAGATAGAAAAAGAGCCTGTGGATTTTCTGAGTGACCACCCACTAGTGAGCCACGATCTTGGCCTGCAAGCAGACATTACCACTGTGATATATTATGATGCAGAAGTCTCTAGGCACCCCTCGAATGCATAAAGAAATATCAATTGCCCTTTGTGAAAAAAAAAGGGGGAACTAAGCATTAAAAAAAAAAAAAAAAAAAAAAAAAAACCTTGAAAAAGTGCATGCAGCCCTGAATTCCAATTCACTCCAGCTTCCTGATCTAGAAATAGCGTCACATGCTGCCTAATTTTTTTACAGATGAATTGTGCTACCTCCTCCTCCCAGCCATCACAGATGTGTTTATTCAGAGAGTTAGTGCTGTGAGTGAATCCTACCGACTGCTCTGCCAGGGCCGCATCCAGACACTCTGCTCTGAGCAGGGGCTGCTTTGCACTTCTGAGAGGCCCTACACTTGTGCTCTCTGTCACAGTTCTGCAGAGTCTCGAAGCCTTCCATGCAAAATCGGAAGCTCTATTCACTATCTCTGCATAGAAGAGAAGGCTCTTTAAGACGGTGTTCTCTTATTGTGGGGGAAAGAGAGGTGTTTGTGATCCTGACAATACCTGTGCGTTTAAGTAAAACTGATTTTAAAATCTTGTGTGATTGTTTTTGGGGAGAAATTCAACAAAAAAATTGAGTTTTTTTCTAGTACCACATCAAAGATTTCGATGTTTTGTTATGTATGGCTATATAAATTTTACCTGTTTTATTTTGCATTAAAATAAAGGCTTTAAGACTATATATGATTATGTATTTGTATATTTTCTCTTTCTCTTCTTTGTATCTACAAAGTCATCCCCACTTCTGGATGTGATTTGATATTAGAAGACCATGTGTGATCAGAATTGGTAAGGTAAATTTTTAAAAAAGAAAAATGAACCACAACAGCCATGTGCTGCCCTGTAGAAAAAAACAATCACAGGGTTTAACTTGATTCCCTCTCAAATCCACACTGTCTTCAGTTGTAGAGCCAGAGTCCTGATTTCGTAGCCCTGATTGAAAGGAGAAGCAAGAGAGAAGTCCCTTGCCATCTCGGCAAATTTCAGCTTAGGCAACTGCATGTTCGTTGCTGAAGTTCCCTAGAGTTTCATCTCAACGTTGAGCTCTTCTCTTGCTGTTGGTAACAATCAAGGTGTTCTGCAGCCATGTAGCAGGTACCACGTCCAACCAGCTGAGGCTGTATTTCAGTGAGATGGCTGCAGCACTATCTTGCCAGAGATTTAGGACTCCTTGAAAGTTTTACACAGGTACTTAAGTTCAGGTACATGGGTCATTTCGCTGAAGCTGGTGACGCTACTTTTCATACTCCAGATTATGCACAAGCATAAATCTTTGCATGATCAGAACTATGGGTTGCAGAGCACACTGAGATTCAGCAAGAGTGTTACGTTAGATGAAGTAATTTTCTAAATAGTAGATATTTAAGTGAAAAGTCACTAGAACAGGGAGAAGGAACAATGTAGCCTTTCTGAGATGAAAACTGTGTTTTACTACAAAGAGTAGAGAACAAAACAGGACAGAAAAGTGCAGAAGGTTTACAACACCAGATATAGCAGAAAGTGCAGTAATGGTTCAGTAAAAATAAATCTGTACTGCATTCTAAAATATTTTTAATGCAGATCTTGGTATTTATGGCCAAGACAGCTCATGGGCAACTCTGAGTCAATCTTAGCATGTGTTAAATTATCATTCACATAGATGCCAATTTTAGAAGTTACCAGGTCATAACTTGTACCTACAGCTAAAGTGGACAAATAAAACACTGATACCTTTGTTTCTTCTGCTGCTGAAGTTGTACACAGAGTGGCAAAAGACAAACTAGGAGTGTATTAAAAGCTGGAAGCTCAGTGAACACAGTTTCAGAAGGTACTTCTTCCGCCTTGGCGGTGGTCTCCCATGGTTTCCCCATGGTAGCACTCACCTCCCTGAGACCTGGGCTCAAGATCTGGTTTGCAGTCGCTGATGTGTCTGCATAAAGAAGTATACGGAGCCATTTGACTGTTAATTAGTTTTAACGAACCAGACTACACCCTCAAAGACGTGTATTCTGCTGTAAGCACCGTGGGATGTAGTGCCCTTCCCCAGGAAGGCTCTTGGGGCTGGGTTACTCACCCCAGCACCAATGCAGTGACCTGCTGCAATGTGGCAGCAGTCGAGCACTACCCAGGGGCAGAGCATAGCAGCCTCTCAGGGGTGAGGACCATGGCCGCCCTGGTACTGGAGGCTTTCAGTAAGTGAAATGTCATTATCAAGATTGGAGTGGGGCTGGGCTGCTCCTGCAGCCTCCCAGAAGGCGTTCAGGGCTTTTAATAAGCCCCAGGGGCCTCTGGCTCAAAGGCTCTGGAGGCCTCCTGAGGAGGTTTCTCAGGCTCACGGCACTTGGTGCACTCGTCCCTGCAGAAGTGCGGAGGCGCTGAGACATGTCTTGGGAAAGTGTGGAAACAAATGAGACTGAGAAGGGATCCTGCTTCCCAAGCATGTGATCTGCCGCTGGTTTTCCCCGTGGGCTGGAAGGGAGTGCCTGGTACAGGCAACTGGAGAGACAGGATTGCTCTGAGAATTGGGAAGGAGACACAAGGTGGGGAGAGTGGGAAATGACAGGGAGAGGCAACTGGAACAAAGGAAAAGGGATAAATTAAAATAGGTTGGGGAGGGGAAGGTGGGGGTGGTGTCAGACCTGAGCAGGAGAGAAGAGAGTGGAGAGAAGAGGGGATTGTCCCCGATGTGTAAAGTTCACACACTAACAAGGAAGGTGGCACCTTCTGATGCACTGATCGCTGCTCCCCAATTTCCATTTTGCATCCCTCCACTGAGCCCAGAGTCAGGACCTGTTTGCAGCACAAAGCAACCTGTGCTTGAAGGAGGAGGCAGAAGGGCAAGTAGGAACTGTGAGGAAACCCATCAACCAGCATGGGGGAGAGAGAGAGACACCTCTCACCCATAACAGCCCACTCCCCTAGATCACATCTCGCCACCCAGATCTCATGGCCTGCTCCTGACACGCCACCCTTCACCTCCCTGGGTAGCACTAACACCACAAAGTCCCCTTCCCTAACTGCCTCTTTCATCCCGGGTTCCCCCTGAGCTCTTGACATCCTTGAAGCCACATTGACCTTCAAACACAACTTTTGCCTTCACTGCTGAGAAGCCTTGAGCCATCTGTGAGTATAGGTAACCAACACCGAGAGTTTTACTGGACCTGAAAGTGATACGGAGTCAAAGCATGCAGCCCCCAGGGCCAGCGTTCCCACATAGTGCGGGCTGGGGCTGTGCCATCATTACAGACAGGGACAAGTTGCAGTCATTTTTTAATCAGTTGCTTTGTGGGTATAGATTGCAAGAAAGACACAGATTTTATCTCCACTGTCTTTTTGCTTGTCTTGAACCAGCCTTTGACATGCGCAAAAGCTGTTTTATTGCTGGCCTGGCACAAAAATCCTGAACTGGTTTCAGGGGCCAAAAAGGTGATTATAGTCTTTAAAACAGAATTAATTCTCAAACCATTCCCAAAATATGCCTGACAAACTAACCCAAGCCAGACGAGTTGGCTGTGCTTATGGCAAAAAAATCTCAGTGCAGAGGAAACAGCCCTGCTTTGCTTTTCCAGAAGAATATCTGCATCTGAAAGAAAATAATATATTGGGAAATATGTACAGTAGAGTAAAATTGCAAAATAAGACATTCAATGAAGATTCTATATAAAACCGTGCCCTTTGCCTCCAGCAGGTAATGAATAAAAATGATATAAAGAAGCAATGAACATTCAATGTTTTATATTTAAAATACATTTTGTGAGGAAAACAATGTGGCATAGAAACAGGACTGAAAGGTTCTCCAAGATAATGCCAGAAGCTGCAAGATGTTAGCAGCATTGTCGCATAAGTTTCAAGGTGTAGGTTTTTAATTTTCTCTTATGAATCATAGAAGCAGTCGTGAAAACTGTCATTAAAATTCATTACAAGAAAAGTAAACTTACATTAAAACCTACCCCATTCTTCTCTGAATTCTTGGTACTGGTTAGGAAGCAGTGTCTGCTTCTCTGCCAAAACCTTACCTACGCAATGTGATTTAATCTCTAGGCTCTGTTAAATTGGAGTTTTCATACATCACATCCTTCAATCCAGAGTATTAAAAAAAAAAAAAAAAAAAAAAAAAAAAGGAAAAAATTTTAAGAAGCTTCATCTGCCATAATTTTTCTAGGAATGAAAAGATAATAAAAAATAGAGCAAATATGAAGAAATTAATTTATAAGTAAATAAAAGTAAATAAACCACACACACACCCCTTCCTCCTTGCTTCCCTCTTCCCTTACTCCTAGGTGTATATATATGCACATACATATATAATTTTGTATTGCTGCTTTTGATCTAAAAGCTAGTTTACTTTCCCAACTTTGTTCTAGCCGTTCCTTCTCTCCAAAGGAGAGTCAGTAGTTAGAGCGATGTATGCACATGAGAAGAGTGGTAAAACCGGTGACCTCCGGATCTGTGAGTGGATGGATGTACCCAACAGCCAGGACTGAGCCACACACAGCAAACCAAGGAGGAGGTTTTCAGAGAGAGCAGCATTTCCACACGCTGTGCATTGCTCCAACAACTGTATCTCTGTAAGTGACAATTTGCAGAGGTGGACTGAGTTTGCAGGGAGGTTCCTACCCGGCTGTGGAAAGGATTTGCCAGGGCTGCTGCAGTGGGTGAGCGCTCCCAGACAGACACAGGAGCCATGGCACAGCGGCAGTGCGCTCGCTGGCCCGTCTGGGCTGGGAAGGGAAGATGCCATGTTTAGGGAGGTTGAACCCGGAACATAAATTAGAGTATTCATGAGGTTGCTCTAAGATCATGTTAAACACCCTGACAGCCTGCTGGTTATTTCAGCAAGCAGAGGAAATCATAGGCGCTCTTAGCATGTCCAGTTGCCAGCTCTGCATTCATATTTGGCCAAATCAATCACAACTAATTCAGTTACAGGAGTGTTAGGTGCAAGAAGGGTGTTTCTGAGTCTGTTCACAGAGGCACATGCACACATCCTCTTTACCATGGAGAATGCCTTTCCTTCCTTCCCTCCTTCCTTGTTTCTCTCTCCCTTCTGTTGGAAGTAAGCCCTCCAGGCCAGTCAT